CAAATATGCAACCATCCAACTTTCTCGCGATAAGAACTTTATCATGAAACCGGGGATGAAAGATAGTAGTGAACTTGACGTGTTCTCTAATTCATGCACTGGCAAAGGTTTAACTATATCGAGTCTTAGAGGAGACACGATCAGTGGTTATCCTCCGCGCCAATAGAGTGCAAATCATTGAGATTATTACATACTGTAAATAATCTATGGTGATGCTGCACACAGAGACAAAGGTAAGTGCGGAAACATGCTGCATTGAACGTAAGCTCCCTGATTTTCGACAGGGAAGGGTGGGCGAGGGTGCTAGTATAGTTTTTGAGCCCGGCCCGTCAACGTTAGGAAGAAAATCTACGACAAAAGTCATTCCATAGATGTTTTGCCGCAGGCAAGACGTATCGTCACACGCAGATTCAGCCGGGGGAAAAGGGAGCGGTATTGGGCAGCCGACGACCTTGACATGAGGAGCGGACAGTCGGGCTCTGCTTGGGGTCCTCGAAGGCTGGTATTCTCAACATGTTTTCCGCTCCGACGGAAGTTAGAAATGTACTGTGTGTTTGTCTGGGTCGAGTGACAGTCACTGTCAGTATGGCAGAAAATTGTTAGATTTAGGATGGGTCTGTTTGTCGACAAAGTCTCGATGGCTGGTGATCGGACATGTTATTTATATGATTTAACTGTTTTGCTATATTACCTAAAATTGCATGGGTGATTCTTTGAGTCGGCTGGGACGAATTAGTTCATAGGTAGTGTTGTTTATGTTCTTTTCTCTTATCGTTGAAATGAGCGAAAAATAAGTGTACTAAAACCGGCGATAAAACTAGAATTCGGGGAACCCTAGGTTGACTTAAGTTACTGCCATTATCGGCGTATCAATATAAGCACCGGCAGGCTGAGCGCCCACAATCGATTTCTGATGACACCCCACCTCTGATAGAGAGTTCACCTTTGAACGCCAGCGTATGAAGACTTAGTACATACGCTGTGCGCGGCGACGATTCAGACCGAGGGACCCCTACGAGGCTAGGGATGTGATAAGATATGGTCGTGAAACGTAACTGAGAGATGTAAAACTGAGAGGTACTCAATTTGTGTTCGGTGTTGAGTGTTGAGTCGGTGACCATCCGCTGCCGCGATGGGCCAACTGCGCGAGGGGGTGTGCGGGGTCTGCCACTTAATAAAGTGGCAGCTCTTTTGTAGATGGCGCGGCTGTTTGATTGTAGCTATATACATTCTACCGCCAGCTGAATAGAGAGTTCACCATTGGCCGCCAGCGTGCGAAGACGTAGGAGAAAGTGAGGTAAAACGGTGAGGGTAGGTAAGACGGGCACTTCCTCTGCAGACCAAACCAATAGCGCTACGAGCGAGAAAAATTAGGAGGACCACAGTTGCCTTTCCCACCACATACCGCCATTGAAGCCTGGTGAATTTATGTTCAGTCACTTAACTTTTATTTCGATTTATTTAGTCTGGCCGGGCCCGGGGGATAATCCCAACCACCGCAGCCCGGGAGAATATTTACCCCCCCCCCTGTCTAACCCTCGCCGGCCAAGGGGGGGCGAGTGCCGCCCCCCCCCCACCATAGCGTTTTTTTTCGCGATAGCTCCGAACACGCTGAGGATAGAAAGCTGAACCTTTGCACATTTGAACTTTGATTCAAGCCGGATATTTGACACCATCCGCATTTTCAGGTCAGGTCAGGTCACTAACCTATGACGTCATAAGTGAACCTCTGCACGGTCTTCAGATCTCGCAACTTCGCAACGCCCTCACTGCCAGAGGAGCTTTCACAGGGAAATGAAACTTGCAGGATCTAGTATCCATTATGAGTACCACAACTTGTATATCTCCGATTTTTCCTAATTTACCGGTCGGATTTTACCGGATTTTTTTCCAAAGATCACATGAGATCAGTTCAGTTACGTGACCTCACCATTGTAAGTCAATGCAGGGGAAATATGAAGACTGTGATTTTGGCGCCGTAAATGATCTAAAACTGTCCCAAGCACATGAAATCGTGGTTTCGATCTAAAACTGTCCCAAGCACATGAAATCGTGGTTTCATGCACTCCTTGAAGGTCCGATCATGAAACCACGATTCCATGTGTTTGGGATAGTTTAAGATCATTTCCGGCGCCAAAATAACGGTTTTCATGTTTCCCCCATTGACTTATAATGGTGAGGTCACGTGACCGACCTGACCTCATGTGACATTTAGTTTAAATCCGAGATATACAAGTTGTGAGACTTCTGAAGGATATTACGCCCTGTAAGTTTTATCTTCCTGCATAAAAGTTCCTCTGGCACTGAGGGCGTTGCAAATTTGCAACATCTGAGGACCTCGCAGAGGTCCTCAGATGTCCTCAGATATTTATGACGTCGTAGGTCAGTGACCTGACCTGACCTGAACACGCGGCTGGAGTCAAACGATCCAGCTTGAATAAAAGATTAGGTATGCCAAGTTTCAGCTGTCTACGGCCTAGGCGTGTTTTGAGCTATCGCGAAAAACCCTATAAGGCGGCACCCGCCCCACCCCTTCTCGGCCGTTAAGGGTTAATGTACTAGTTCATGTACATGTTTGCGCAGATATAGTATCATCTCAGCTAAAATATATCTCTAATTCATGCTCGACACATTCTAGTGTTGTTATACAAAAATTAACTCCTTATATTTTCAATTTATTGGACTATTATGCCTGACGAATATTTATTATTCATAAAATAGGTGCTATCTCCAAAATGGATATTTTTCAGATCTCAGGGACCACATCATCGGATTCCTCGCAAAATTTGAGTCCAGAAAACACTGATATTGGAGATGGGTATTTTCAAAAGTTATTTACCGTCCTTTGGGGCAATGTGCGGGGGGTGTCTGAACATCCCCCCCGTCTAACTCGGCTCCTGGGCCACGTAGCGACACGTGGTAGGAGGCATTCGAAAGACCGTCAAAAATAATAACTGAAACAAATCGGTCATTTTTGGGTCAGGTCAAAGGTCAGGTCGCCAGAGGTCATCAAAGGTCAAATGTAGGCCATTTCAACAATTTTGGAAACTGCCAACGGCTAACTCGGGAACTCGGGAGATACGTCGAATGAACTATTCGTCGACCTTGAAAAGTCATTTGAAAATTTGACCTTCGGTCAAGGTCATGACATGACCGGAAAGGGTCATGTTGCATATCCCTCGCCCCGCTGGGGGGGGGGCGAATTTGCCCCCTGTGGTTTTTCCTGAATAGCAAGAAAACGGCGGCGTGCAGTGACGTCAAATTTTAAGTACCTTCCCGGCCATCAATTTTTCATCTTCACACAAAATTTTAAGTCTTAGGTCACCTTAGGTCAGGAGTTATTAAGGTAAAACTGAGGTCATGTTCGAGCAAAAATGAGCAAAAAACATGAAATCTTGAAACGCTCACAAAAGCTATAGTTATCAAGCAATTTCAAAGTTCTTTATATGGTCATTTAGACCAAAGGCGGCGCTACAGAACTGGTATCTCAGATCTTCATTTTTGTTTTTATTTTTACCCCCCAAAATTCAAAACAGTGATTTTTTAGAAGAAAAAAAAAACGCAAAAAATGCCATTTTTCCAAATATCGAAAAAACGGAACACATGTGATAGTCCCTACCGTCTTCTATCTACATACCAAATCTTAGATCGATGCCTCCTTTTTTGGCCAAGTTATAGCAAAAAACTTCAAAATTGATGACGTCAAATTTTGGAACTCAATTTTCGGCAATTCTAGAACATGTAGCGCAAAACAAAGACCACCATTGAACTCCTTGTGACGAGCGGCATCGAATCGATACCCATTTTAGGCAAATATATCAACTTTAAAATTTGACCTAATTTGACCTGACCTTGACCTGACCTTGACCTGACCTTGACCTGACCTTGACCTGACCTTGACCTGACCTTGACCTGACCTTGACCTTGACTGAACATAACCTGACCTTCACCAGAACATAATCTAACCTGACCCCAAAGACTGCCTGACACACATAATCGTATTTGGCATATAAAATGGATCATAAAACATGCATCATATGATATTTTCATATTCTGACCCTCAGTGACCTGACCTCTGTGACCAGACCTGGTATCAGTGACCTCAAATAGCAGCATATGTATTTGACGAACATTTCCCCACCGATGATTACGAGCGAGCGAGCGCAGCGAGCGAAGCGAGTCTTTTCAATATAACGGAAAAATCTCAGTATGAGCGGCCCGGCCCGGCCCGGCCTGTAACGCTTTTGAGAGGCTTATATCTCAGCAACCGCTAGACCGATTGGCCTGCGGTCTTTTTTTGCGGCCTTTTTTGCGGCCTGCGCTCAAATTTGGTACACGGTTGGGGACCAGTTAGTAGGGTGCCGTGCAAAAGTCAGTTTGGACCCCGTTGGCACGTGCGCACGTGCAGAATGCCGCTTCCAGATCTCAGGAACGGCTGGGCCGATTGCGTTCAAATTTGATACACCGCTAAGCGACCGGTTAGAAGGGTGCTTTGCACCAGCCCGTTGGAAGTACCCTCTCGCCCTTCCGCACGTGCAGGGCTCACTATCTCGCTCGCTCGTTCTTCGCCCAAAAGGCGTTTTACTGGTTTTACAAATGTATTTTCTTTGGTATAGTGAAAGAAGGAAATCAGCCGGTAACTTTTTTGAGTTATCGGCGTGTAAACGCAAAAAAGTCACTCATATGGCAGGTTTGACCACATTTGACCTCATATGACCTGAAAGATATTGACCTAGGGTCATGAAATTCACACACAAAAGAGTTCTCCATGGCCCCTACCGACCCTCCAAATCTCGTCTTTCTAGCTCCAGTGGGAGCTGAGATCTAAGGGGGGAGACATCCCCCCTCTACTGGGCGTAGAACTCGCAACCCTTCCACTGCGCGTGTTAAACATTTTATCTGAAGACCCTACAAGTCCAATATCTCAAAACTAAAGGAATCATTTTTGTGGTAAAGTTACGAGGTCATATTCCTTGCAGGGAGAAGGAACTTTCTATACGAACAGCTTACAGAATGGCCGAAAATCCACCGCAGTCCCAGCTTTCTACTGATGAGACGCAACTGAGGACGGCACAACTCAACATAACTAAGTTGAAGACGACTGAAAATGAAACTTTCCAGCCAGAGGCAAACTCTACACAGGCGAATGGCTCTAAGACCAGTGGCCTGCTGACACCCAATGCAATCGCATGCCGTCCAACGGCCGGCCCAGCGCCGTCCTCTGCCGACGGTACCGGTCAAGATGATGACGACCCGGAGATCGCACGAATGCTCGCCGCGCTGAAGTCTACCGTCATCCCCGACGGCTGGCTGCCGCTGCCGGTGGACCCCAACACGACCAACCCATTGACTCGGGCGTACCGGTACCGCGGCATGGTGCTGCTCAGGGTCCACATGCTGTGCGGGCTGCAGCACTGGGCACAGTTCCGCGGCCGGCCCAGCGACGTGATCGTGGCCAGCTTCCCCAAGTCGGGCACCACGTGGCTGCAGGAGATCGTGTGGCGCGTGGTGCACCGCGAGACGGGTGCCCAGAGCGGTGGCGGGCGCACCCTCGAGTACCGCTTCCCACTGCTCGACCTGCCGGCCACGGCTCGCATAGCGATGACTCCCCTGCACGAGATGGAGTCACCGCGGCTCATCAAGACCCACCTCATGTACCACCTGCTGCCGGAGAGCGTGCACACGAGCGGCGCCAAGGTGCTGTACGTCTCGCGCGACCCGCGCGACGTCTGCGTCTCCTACTACCACTTCCAGAGGATGGTGGACTACGAGCGATACCGAGGAACGTTCGCCGAGTTCCGCGACAAGTTCGTTCGCGGAGAGGTGATGAACGGTCCCTACCGGGAACACGTTAGGGGCTACCGCGAGCAGGCCGACCACGTACTGTGCCTGACCTACGAGGAGCTGCATGAGGATCGCGTGACGGCAGTCCGCAGAGTGGCGGAGTTCCTCGACAAGCCCCTGACCCAAGAGGAGGCAGAGGCCATCGCCAGACACACCGACTTCGAGAACATGAAGAAGAACCCCGGCTGCAACTTCAAACACTGGGAGCAGACACGGATGGTTAAGACGACCGACGAGGGTACCTTCATGCGGAAGGGTCAAGTGGGCGACTGGAGAAACTACTTTACTGAAGAGGAGAGTGACGCCTTCATGAAATGGGTCAACGAGCTCATCTAGCATGAGCTAGCAATGGACGTCAACTATCATGCGCGCATAGTTCAGGCTAGAAAAAGGGGTGTTATTTTTTATCGAACACTGCTGATGTAAGGTTTTGGAATGTTAGGATATTTGTGAGCATTTCTTACGTCTGCTCTAAAACTGGACATTTCTTTTTCCAGCATCGTGTTCCTGTCGTCGAGACGCTTCGAATGTAGGGGAGGACGGGGCAATTTGGCCGGTAGTATAATTTGGCCGCTCCCACCTTTACGGTTCAGAATCTGAATTTGATAATATAGTGCAATAGTTTGTGAAAGGACTGGTTCGAAGTACTTTCGCTACGTTCTGGAGCAGCATAATGTCATCAAATGTCTCTGCATGTCATCCACTTTATACGCTACATTTCACAATCATCAACTGGAACGTGTAAAGGAAATGCACTTCTCGTCTGCATATTGCATGTTTTATCTTTTCCTGTACCAACCTTTAACCCGCGCGGGGCTGGGGGGTAAATTTTACCCCCCTCACGAATTTTTGCGATATCTCAAAAACGGCGGCGCGCAGCGCCGCCAATCTTTCAGTACCTTTTCTTACATCAATTTGACACGTTCCCTGAAAATTCGAGCGAAATCCGTCGGAATTTTTTTGAGAAGTTGACGTTTTAGTGACGTCATGTTCGCCATTTTCGCCTAAAAAAAACGGCAAAATTTCAAACGCCGCTAACATCTTCATTTTTAAAGGAATCAAGACGTAAAAAAGGTTATACGTAATTCTACGTTGTCTATCAAATGGCTATCTCGGTTTTTTGAAAATTTTGGATTTTGGCCCAATTTTTTTTTTTCTAAAAAAACTGACTTTTTTGGGAAAATAATTATAAAATCCAAAATTTTGAGTGTATCGATATAACCGGAATATATGTCAGAGAAGTGGTTTATGTGCACCTACATACCAATTTTTAGAAGAATCGGTTCAAAAATGTGGGAGTTATTCAAAATTTCATGACGTCACGACACACACAAATTTTGAGAAAAAAAAAATATTTTTTTTGGAATTTCTGGACCTCGTACGGAAACAAAAACAGCACCATTCGATTCGCCGTGAAAAACTGCATCAGATAGACACCTTTTTAGGCCTTAAAAACCAACTTCAAAATTTGACCTCAACCTGACCTTGACCTGAAATTCATCCACAGGTGCTCCATATCACTTATTGAGTGTGCCTATTGAATTCTATGAGTAAAATGACCCATAAAACATGTGTCGCACATGCCCTTTTCTATATTTTTTTTTTTGGTGACCTGACCTGACCTGACCTGACCTTGACCTTGACCTCTGAATGATATTGTATGCAACAAATATTGTCTTGGTAGCCTAAGAACACGTTTTGGGCAATCAGTCTCAGTCCATGACTCCATTCTTCGGCAACTACGGTGCAAGGCCGATACCGTAGAAACTTGCAATTTATACCCTTGACCTGACCTTGACCTTGACCTCAAACTTTAAATGAAGTACATATTTTTAGTTGTTCGTGATGCGATCTTTCGATTGGCGTTTGAGTTTTCCAAATAGGACCATTAGTTCGGGAGATAATAGGGGGGGTAAAATTTACCCCCCCCCCACCAGCCCCGCGCGTTCGGCTGGAGACCCCAGCCCCGCGTGGGTTAATATGAGCATTCTATGTAATTCCGTTCACAAACCGTTTCCGTTTTTCCTTATGCGTTGCGATCAATTACCGATCAAGTTCGCCTAATACAGGGCTCAGGATCAAGATAAGTGAGAAAACGAAGAAACAAATATCTTTAAGCGATCCGAGGCCTTATCAACCAAGAAGCTCAGTTTTCATAGAAAAATGAGCCGATAGCACGTGCTCGTAAATTGCCGATCACAGCCCCAGCTACAAGAAAAACGTCTATCTGGCCTGCACGCGCGCATCCATATTGCACATTCACCCAACCGAAAATTGCATCCAGCAAACATCTCTGCAGGCCCGATTGTGTGTGGAAACTTTATTCTCACAACTCAAAAGCACTCGGCCTGTTTGGTAATGTTGTCACCTACTCATCATGTCTTCTGAAGCACCAGAAAGTTTTTGGTAGTAGGTAATTGGCTAGCTTTTCACAACATAGCTGTTTTGCTATTAAATGCTGGGTTTGTTTATACCACGGTGATATCTACAACACTGATTTGACTAATGATTAGTTTACTTATGGGACAGTTACATATACAGTCTCAGTAGGAAGCAGCTGAATTAATGCTCCAGAATCAGAAGTGCCAAAGCCGTCCCAAGATAACACAAATGTTTTAACAACCAGTAAAACGCCTTTTGGGCGAAGAACGAGCGAGCCGGAGAAAGTGAGCCCTGCACGTGCGGAAGGGCGAGAGGGTACTTCCAACGGGCTTGTGCAAAGCACCCTTCTAACCGGTCGCTAGCGGTGTGCCAAATTTGAACGCAATCGGCCCAGCCGTTCCTGAGATCTGGAAGCGGCATTCTGCACGTGCGCACGTGCAAACGGGGTCCAAAATGACTTTTGCACGGCACCCTACTAACCGGTCCCTAACCGTGTACCAAATTTGAGCGCAATCGGCCCAGCCGTTCTCGAGATCTGGAAACGCCCCCTGCACCTGCGCACGTGCAGTAGCGCCCTAACAGCAACACATGGGAATGCATTGCCTGGTGGGTGCCTACCTGTATGCCAAGTTTCAGCGAATTCGCCCCAGTAATTACCGAGTCACTGAAATGGGAACAAATTTGGCACCTCTTCTTTTTGTATTTTGCACGCATGCAGTGGGGGTCACTCACATATACCGGGGTTACATGAGCAAGTAAATGCGTATCAGGAACGGATTTTCCTATTCGCTCACCATTGTAGTCCGTTTGTAATGCGTATTAACTCTGCTCATGTAACCCCGAGCATAGATCAAGAGTACCTATCCGACCTTTGATAGAAGGGATGCAGCTACCCTGTAAAAATTACCGCAAGACAATCGCTCAAGCCGCTGCGGAGATATTGGCCTCTCAAAATCATTACTTTTGCAAAACTGCTTGATCACCCTTGACTTTTCACGTGGCACGTGCCACGACGGTCACTGAGATGTATCAAAAGCAGTCAATTACGGGGTAGAAGGGATGCCCCATCCCTTCTACCCCGTAATTGACGTACCTTAACCCGCGCCCGGCTGGGGGTCCTGGATTTCCACGCCCTGCTGGGGGGGGGGGGTGTTTGAACACCCCTCCTTCTAACTCGGCTCCTGGGCCACGTAGCGATACGCGGAAGGCGGCGTTCGAAAGAGCGTCAAAAATAATGACGAAATCACTTCGGTCAATTTTTTGGTCAGGTCAAAGGTCAGGTCACCAGAGGTCATTGAAGGCAAAATTTCGCCGATTTCCAGGTCGAATGTCGACAATTTCCAATAACCCAACGCATAACTCGGGAACCAATAGAGCTACAGCGCCGCGGAAAAGCGCATTCGATAGCCCTATTAACGCCCTTTCTGAGTAATTCTCTCAGATTTGATCTAACGTCAACGGTTTTGCCTGCAGGGGGCAAAAACTGCAAAAATAGCCGATTTTTTCGGAAACAGTTTTTCTGCAATAACTTTTGACCCAAGCCTTGTACGAGCTTACTTTTACCGGCATCGTGTTCCTCTTGTCAAGACGCATCGAATGAACTATAACTTGACCTTGAACGGTCAACTTGAAAATTTGACCTTAGGTCAAGGTCATGACCTGACCGGAAAGGGTCATGTTGCATATCAGTCGATCCGTATCGTCGAGCTGAACACATCTAAAGCGTTTTCATCGCTCTAGCATGCCTCTATCAAAAGTTATTTGCGAAAAACTGTTAGATACCATTCGTGACCTAAGATGACCTCAGGGCATAAACAGGGGTCACGGACACCATTTTCATGTTCAGTGTGTCTAAAACACTTGTAATTCAGTGTTTGGGAGTGTTTATAATGTCTTTCGTTCAAAGGAGGCGCATTTCAATTTTCTCCCATTGACTTATAATGGGGAGGTCGCAAAATTGACCTGACCTTAGGTCATCGATATCAAAATTCTGAGATATACATTTTGTACATGCTATTGCTCTTAGCAATCGCTGAAAGTTTCAAAGCGATCGGTCACTCGGTGTAGCTATGACAGGCATTGAAACTTTTTATGAGGTGAGGTCACTTCAAGTGACCTGGTGACCTGACCTTGAATGACCTTGGTCTGAAATTTTCACAACATGTGTAGAATTGATGTATGATAAGGTGTACCAAAAACGGCGGCGCTCCGCGCCGCCGTTTTTGAGATATTCGCGAAAAACCACAAGGGGGGGGGGGTGTTCAAACACCCCCCCCCCAGCAGGGCGCGGGTTAATTGAATTACCCAGCAAAAAAGACCGCAGGCCAATTGGTCCAGCGGTTGCTGAGATATAAGCCTCTCAAAAGCGTTACAGGCCGGGCGGGGCCGGGCCGGGCCGCTCATACTGAGATTTTTCCGTTATATTGAAAAGACTTCGCTTCGCTAACTGCGCTAGCTCGCTCGTAATAATTACATGTAACGAGTCCTTCTCAGCGACCCACCAAAGACATCTGGCATGACGCTCGACAGTCTGCAAGGGATTGCAGATTTAGAGGATAAAACGGAAAATGCAATTACGAGCTAACGCGCCACCTCCCCCCTCCCCGAAACCTTGTGGAATGGAAAGTAGAAGTCCTGTCACGCATTGCTATTGGATTTTTACGTGAATCGTTTTCTCCTAAGATCGTTTTCGCATACAACATTATGCTAACGATACTGATGATTCCAGACAGGACCTTTTAGACAGCCCCTTGCAGTCTGATGCAGGCCATTGGTATACGCCCACTCTCATTCGTCAGGTTTGACCACAAACAGACCGGGGGGGGGGGGGGGTGCGCCTCCGTGCTCACGTGCAGCCGGAGCCGGCGTTGATGTCGTCTCGCAGAATGTCTTCGTCACTGCAGTTGTTGCCGGGAAACACGTCTGCGAGCAGTCTACGGGCCCGCGTCAGGTTGAACCAGTTCTTGTTACAGATGGTCACAGCCGGGAACTGAAACAGTCGGGTCAGAAGTCAGGTCTGTGAAGTTCAGGGGGTTCAGTAAGTGAGCGTTCAGCTTTCAATGGTCAGATTGTCATTTTTCATGGTATAGTTAAAAAGTCATATGTCGACTAGGTCGGCTCATAGGTCATGGTTAATGTTTTTAGGTCACGTGTTTCACTGAAGCTCGGCTGATCCCGGCAAAAAAATAAAACATGCACCTTTTGAATTATAGCAACGTAATACTCCATAAGTTATTTTAATTAGAGTACATAGTCGTCGCATTAGAGAAAATACTGTTGTTCATTTCATAAACTCTTCAAAACTAAGTAATCTAGCTCTAGACTAACATAGCATCCACTAACAACCCAGCAACATGCCATGACCGTGGGTTAACCCGCACCCCGTAGGACTATCGGCGGACCCGTCGGGGGGGGGGGGGAGGGGCGTTTCGCCCCCTCCTAAGATCTAAAAAATTTACCGACCTATTTTGTAAATTCAAACGGCGTTCGATAGCCCCAACAGGGAACTACCTTGTGACCTAATTTCATTGACCTAGGTCAAACCGATGACGTCACAGGTCAGGTCAAAGGTCGGATTTTCACCGTTCACAGGCATTTCAAGAAATGTGTTGTGAAATCGAGTAAACTGGTAAGTTATTGAAAACCATCGATGGTACATTGCTCGTTAAACACATACTTTGCTATCTGAGGTCGTTGATACCAGGTCAGGTCACTGGGGGTCACAACTCACAATATGAAAGTGTCGTGTGATTCATGTTTTATGGTCCATTTTACATGACAAACGCGATTATGTGGATCAGGCAGCCTTTGGGGCCAGTTTAGGTCACGTTTTGGTCAAGGTCAGGTCAAGGTCAGGTCAAATTTGGTCAAATTTCAAAGTTGATCTTGTTGCATAAAATTGGTATCATTTCGATGCAGCTCGTCACGGGGAGTCTAATGGTGGTCTTTGTTTTGCGCTAGGTGGTCTCAAATTGCCAAAAAAAATGAGTTTGAAAATTTGACGTCATCTTTTTGAACATTTTTTTTTCGCTATAACTTGGCAAAAAACCGTGATATCTATCTAAAATTTGGTATTTAGATAGAAGACGGTAAGCACTATCACATATACCTATTCCGTTTTTTTTTAACTCAAAAAACGTTTTAGGTTTCTGGGCTAATATATCTAATAAAAGGTTTTTTTCATTTTTTGGGGGTCAAAACTCAAAATTTCAAAAATACGAGATAACAGTTTTGTAGCCCTGTCAATTCTACACCTTATATGTCTGATCATGTTTATGTATCTTCAACGCTGTAGGCCTGACAGCTCTTCTCGCGAAGGTCTTTTTTCGGTCGAAAATGGCAGAACAAGACGTTTTTCTGACGTCATTTGTGGACAACCTATCATAGCCTCTGGAAACTTTTTTAGTCACAATGTGTAAAATTGATGCCCGGAGGGGTCCTGAAAGTTTGGTGGCGATATCTCCAGCCGTTTAGGAGGTATCGACGGAAAAGGACGCGGGGCGCTCCCCCATACGGGGCGCGGGTTAAGCAATGTGGTGGCGCTGGAGCCATTCCTGGGTCAGCGATGGTAACATGTCTCACGAGCCAGTGACTCACTGGGCCGGTAACGTGACACCAAACACCGAGATAGGGCGGCCACCGGAGCTGGCCGGCCGGCCGGCACTTAGTTAATTGAATACCGGAGGTATATACTCCGGGGTGCAGCAGGTGACTCAGGTGGGAGCCAGGACGCAGCGCGGAGCAGGGACAGTAGCCGCAGTCACCGGGGCAGAGCGGAGCAGGAACAGTAGCTGCAGCGGCAGCAACAGTGCGGGTGGCAAGGAGAAAACAAAGCAAAAGAACAGAAGACCTCATGTCGCGATTTTCTTTATCGCGGGTACAGTATCGACTAGCGAGTTGTTATTTAACGGCACGAGAGTTTGTTGACCTCAGAAAATTCATCGCAGTTTGAAAGAGAAATGTTACTTTTCTCGTAGCCGTGATAGAACGCTTAACATGTTTGACCACACACATACGACAAACAAATATTACGAACTTAGTGTCTAATGTAACGTTTAATATATAAGGTTTGTTTATAGACGGTGCGTCAACAATTTGCAAACGCGGTACGAGAACAGTCAAACATGTTAAAACAAATAAGTGATGAAAATATTTAAATGTAAAGATTTGCTCATCTTGAACAAATGTCAAGCTCGCTTGCCTGCGACTGAATACGTGCTAAACGTAAGCTTAACTTAAGTGAGGCCTAATGAGGCGGTTGCAGGACAACCATCACATTGATTGTACGTTTTAATGTTGACATTTAGCTACATGGTAATTTGAGCAAATTGATTAAAACTTCAGTCAGAAATAATATAATTGATTTGTGATTAACGTAATTCTGATTGAATTGTTTTGGAAACACGATGTCTCCCGACATCAAGCGCCATCGTGCAAGACTTCTAAGCAACTTGACAAGAATCCGACGCAGCGCCTTCGTAATCATCGATGCAAGAGGGAGCCGCACGCAGTTATCGTCGTTGTTGATTGACATGGATAAAGCGCTTCAGGCTATAGAAAACGTCACGGATGAATACGTGAACACGTTTGAATCAGAAGAGGAAAAGGAGCAAGCTCTGAAGTACTGTGAAGATGCGTCTATCCAGCATCAGGAAGCTGTTAGCCGCATCGAAAATTATCTGCGCGAGAGGCAGGGAGACCCCGCATCAGTTGCGACTGGGTCACAAGTTTCAGCGGTATCCACCATGTCACGGCAGGCCCAGGTTAACGCTCAAGTAAAGAGACTGGAAGCCGCACAGCTGGAGCGAAGACTTGAGCAAGAAAGACAAGAACAAGAGCTTCAACGCCAACGTCGCCTTCAAGAGGCGAAAGACGCTCAAGCTGCAGCGGAACTGCAAGCGCAGCTGACGATGGCTGCAGAAGATGGCCTAAACTGGGACAGACGGCACGATTTCAGTGAAGAGTTACCCCAAGCGCCGATGACAATGAATAGCCAGCAGCAAACTGACGAGGACCGTAATCAATCATCAGCTCAAACAGACTCAGCGAGGCAGCAAGCCGGAGCCAGCGCCTGTGAGGCTGCCGCACCATTGGACCCGGGATTGAACCTCCCTGTCAATCGCCCATCGAATCAGGATCCGTCGCAGCTGTTTGCACAGAGCCTCCCAAGACTGACGCTGTACAAATTCAGCGGTGAACCCGCCGAGTGGTCCAAGTGGTTCGCTCTTTTCAAGTCGCTTGTCCATGACCAAAGGGCGCTGTCAGCAACCGAGAAAATGGCCCATCTGCAATCAGCTGTCACTGGACTCGCACAGCGCACCATAGCTGGTATGATGTACGACGGGGCCCTGTATGCAGACGCCATTCGAGCGCTAGAGGACCGCTTCGGACGAGAGGAGGATATAGTAGCCGCCAACCTTCAAGCGATGTTTGGATGCCCCTCTCCGACGTACCTGGATCCGGTGTCGCTGGAGAAGTTCCACGCCACTGTGCACTGCGCCGTCACCGTGTTTCAGAAGCTAGGGTATCACGGTGACTTGCACAGCTTTGAGAATCTCAGGAGAGCAGTGGAGAAGCTCCCATCTGAGCTAAAGCGCGATTGGGGAGAGCACGTCATGGACATTGAGCCCGCGCGGCCCAGCCTCATACAGTTTGACACGTGGCTTCAGAGGCAAGTAAGGGTTGCACTGAACTATGCGGCAGTGTCTAAAGGAGCCAAGAGGGTCACCGAGAGAAGACGACCACAGATCAGCGACGAACGAAGCTCAGCCATGCAGAGAACAGCTCTCGTCACTGATGCAGAAACTTCCAGGCGATATCCGTGCATTTGTTGCGATGAAAAACACCAGCTGACGGCTTGTCCAGTGTTCCTGGAGAAGACGGCCGATGAGAGGGCGACTTTAGTAGCTAGTGCCAGGCTCTGCTTTTTCTGTCTGAAAAGGAACCATGCAGTAAAAAATTGCAAGTTCGCTAAGTCCTGCGGCGTGGATGGATGTAGACTGCGCCATCACAGGCTTCTGCACGGAAGTAAGCCGATCAAGCGCGATTCGACAAGTTTTACCAACGAGAAAGCTACAGATAGTGGCAGCAGCGCGACCGCCCGGGTAGTGGCCAGCTCAGGAGAGCGAAACCAGAGAACTACCCTTCTGCAGCTCGTCCCGGTCACGGTACTGGGAATCGATGGAAAACAGAAGACAGTATGTGCACTGATCGACCCTGGCTCGCAGACTTCGTTGTGCTGCGAAGATGTGCTTGAAGACCTCGGACTGTCAGGTGAAAGCCAGCTGCTTCGCTTGCAGAACGTGGAAGGCTGTGGGCCGGCGCAACACACCAAGCGATTGCAGCTGAAGGTGCTGTCGGCTGACAACGGTAGCATTATCACAGTTCCAGAAGTGTTTTCTGTGAAAGATATCAAAGTGACGGTGCCACAAGTAAAGAAGCGCTCAAGTTGGAAGCATTTGCAGGACGTGCAGCTTCCCAACTGTGATGGCAAAGTTGAGCTACTGCTTGGTGCTAACGTTCTCGAAGCCATTCTTCAGCTCGAAGTGAGAGTGGGCAAGCCCGGTCAGCCCACCGGCATTCGCACTGCGTTTGGATGGACGCTTACCGGAACAGTAGCTGATTTGGTACCTGGACACCTCCGAAACGTCCTCTTTCAGTCAGCTCTCATAGACAAAGATGACACCTGTCTTCAGGATTGGTGGACGACTGAATCGTTCGGAACCAAGTTTGAGGGCTCATCGCGGTCACAAGAAGATGACCGTGCTGAGAAGATGATAGAGAACACGATCTGTAACCACGGGGATCGATATGAAGTTGGACTACTCTGGCGGTCAGACGACGTTCAGATGCCAGATAATTACAAGATGGCTTACCAGAGACTGCAGTCCCTCGAGCGCAGCCTGAGCCGCGATCCCAAGAAAGCAGAAGCTTATGACGCGGCTCTGATGGGCTATGTCGCCAATAACCACGCAAGGAAGGTAACAACAG